GTTACTGCATATATTTCCCTTCCCAAACAAATATTTGATGATAACAACAAAAATGGCAGAGTGAAGGGAGCCAATAATAATCAAGTATATAACAGACTTCTATACTACACTAAATAAGGAACTCCTATACAATTTACATTGTTAAAAGTGAAGCTCAGCTGTGAACGGACTCCGTTTTGTCGGTTGGCAAAATATTTCATTTATTATACAAAATGTATTAGGAATAATATTTTTTTAATGGTCAAATAAAATAGTAAATGTAAAATGACTTATCTATATATTTTTTTTTTTTTCAAAACTACATGTTTAGAAATAACAAAATACGATACAAAGTAAATCATAATATCATCTTATTTGTCATATGAAATACCATACAATTGCCAATCGACTTTGAAGCTTCAATTATTCATGACCGGGGTTCGCTATCTAGTAATATATAGAAAACTGGTATATATGCACGGGATTTTGAATTTGTTATCTATTGTCAGCGAATTTTTTATGATAAGAAAAATTTATTTTGTATTTGTGATATCCCTTTACGCCTTAACCATGGCTTAAGATAAACAGGTTACGAAACGCAGCTGTGATTATTGAGGCTCTCGTCTGTCAATCGTCGGGTACCAGGGAGAATGATGCCTAGCGCTCCATGCGGTACTATTTAGCTTTATTTATATTTTTCCACGATACTTTTGGAATTTTGCGGCAATTTTTGCCATGTATTTTAGTTTTAACTTACACGGTAAACAACACAATATTTTAAGATTTTTATGAAATTTTTTTTGATTTTTTATATAATTAAACAATTATAATGCATAAATATAACACGGATAATATAAAACATTTATTTACCTAACTGGATAAAAGTTTAGAAAGTTTCTTTTTGGCTCTATTTTATTTAATTTTTGATTTTCAATGTTCGTAAACTGTCTCATGCGCATTGTTATAGGTATATATGGTGAAGATATCTGTAATCATTTCATATTTGTGAATAGAACATGAAAATGTCAGGCTTGTCACATGAAGAAAAAATTCATTCTAAGTATTTTCAAAGACATCACCAGCACTTGCTTTATTTATTCCTGTTGCTTGGGTAGAATATATAGCCAACAATTGGAGCTTGGGTCTCTTTGTACAAATAAAATTATCAGGTTTTTTTTAATGGGGACTTTCTTTTATTTGCTGCCTGCTGGGGCAGTAGATAAATAAGATAGAATATTGAGAAAGATTGTAGGTATAGCTTTATATTTTAACGTAGGCTTTCCTTTTTCTATTTTATCAACCTTAAGATAAGGGAGCTTTATTTCATAATATTTTTCAATATCACCTTCTAAAAAATGTAATTCACATACTCCACAATTTGGGGTAAGGACCTTATCTTTTCTTTTGATCGCTTTGGCTTATTTATTTAAAAGCTCAGGGTCCTAAATTTAATATGGATATTATTATGGGTATTTGTATAAATAATAAAGTTACTTGCCTTTGGTGCTTTAAATATTATACTTTTATTTCGAGTGCTATTAACACATTATATTTTTTTTCTGTAGAATATCCAGTTGAACACCCAACGTATACACGTGCCTGTTACTAATCGGGTGTCTTCTTACTGTAATACTGTTCTTAGTAAATTGATTCTTATACTTTTGTGTTTCACATAATTTTTCTAAATATGTAAGTATTATCTTTGTAATATGATACCATTGATACCATGCTATGATATTATTTATTTAAGACGAATAACATCATTCTGGTTCATATGAGTAACATAACAATGTATTTTATTACGTATTAATCATTATTATTTATTAACTTAATACGTTTTGGCATGTTCTTTCGAGGCAAATCTTTCAATAAATCTTTGGCTGTTATAATTTTTTAACGCAAATTACGAATCACTATTTTCAGGTATTCAGAATTTATTTTGTATTTCTTCATCAGTGATTGAATCATGCTCACATTTTTTGATCTGTTCATTATCATTCCACTGATGAATATTTGAAATGTGATACAGAACTGATGTAAATTGTTCAACTAATATAGTTCCATTACCATCGCACGTTTGAGCAGACCACCATAAGTGGTTTATTATACCTGTTTTCCATATAAAAGCACTATGATGATTTTTTTCCAGAATTTTTAGGCAAACCTTTTGATAAGTGCCAAACATCGAACTCATGTACGATATTCAGATGGTGTGTTCGAATATAACAACGAATTCCCTTCTGTCAAAAATGCATTGATGTTACATTCGTCGTTTTTTTCAAGTTCTTGAAGTAGTAATTCGCATGCTTTTTTTTCTAAGTCACCCTGAACGGCCTGAACCATTCCTTTTTGAGTAATTTTAAAATCTATTATTTTTGAGCTTCGAACATCCATGACTGAGTACTTGTAGTATTTGGTGAAAAAACCGGGGGTATCAAATCGACCATCACCAGCTAACCAAATACTTGAACCCATTTTTAGTTCGTTTGTATTATTTTGTATGCGTTGATCCCAAATTAGTTCTACTACAGGTGCTGTATAGTTGTTAATGATTTTATCATAAATTGTTCTTGAAAGAAATGCAAGTTTTAAAGACGAACAAAATGTTTTTATTTGATTAAATAATACACCGGATAACGTTAAAGCAGCTCCTATTAAAATTTAATAATAGATGAGACGTCCATTTGAAAATATGTCTATTTTCACATATAGTTTGTACAGCCAACATAGCTCCCTTGGTATAATACTATAATTATGAATATTTTCCACTTTAGCATTACAGTAATGACAAAGTGTAAATAAAATTGACAGAGACTCCCAGAAAACAATGTAACACGAATTTTTTTCTATTTATTTAGATTTCCTTATGTCATTTTTTTCAGTTTGAAGTACTTCGATGTCCGCATCATAAACTTAAAAACTTTCATCTTCCGAAGTTGAAAACTCATCTATTGATAAATTTAATGATAAATCATGGTGACTTTTTAATACTTAACTACTTAATTCACATTGTATACCAATCTCGTTTTGTTTACCAGCCACAAATGATTCATTTGTAATCGTTCATTGTGTTGATTATGAGTTTAAGTGATTTAATAGAAAATTATTTCCTTATGGGTTTTACCTAAAAATAAATAATAACAAATTTGTCGTTGAAGCATGACGTAGAGACTAGTCTTCGTACTTTGAAAAGACGATTAAAGGAACTAGGTTTGTATAGAGCCATTGGCTATACAGTATACACCCATACGTCATATTGTAAGACATTATTTAGAGACTTGTGTCCAGGATTCAAATCAACTTCATGGCTATAAGTGGATGCACAGAAAATGTATTAGCAATGGATTTGTGGTTAGATAAGAGACTGTTCGAAGTATCTTAAAAATAATTGATCCTGAAGGTGTCGAAATTAGAAGTCGTAAACTATTAAGGATAAGTCAGTACTTTAATCTAGGCACTAATCATACATGGCCCACAAATTGCTATGATAAGCTAAAACCTTATGGAATTTCCATAAGATGACGTCTCACCTTCACGTGTTGTCTCCGTCTTACACACATACGACACACCAAATGTTCGTTGGCTAGTTTCAATAGGGTATTGTCAATTTATATATTACAGTGAATCGACCTATCATCAAACTTTTAGGTAAGAACAGTATCTGTGTTCTCTTGTTGGTTTTTTATGATATTTTAATTTTTAAGTGAGTCATGGATATGTAAAGTATTCATATTCTAAAATGTTCATAACTCACTTAAAAATTAAAATATCGTAAAAAAACCAACGAGAGAACACAGATAATGTTGTTACCTAAAAGTTTGATAATAGGTCAATTCACTCTAATATCAAAACTGACAATACCCTATTGAAACTAGCAAACGAAAATTTGCCATGTCGTAAGTGTGTAAGACGGAGACAACACATCCGGGTGAGACGTCCTCATAAGTGAGTGTATTGATGAGTTTTCTAGATGTATAATTTGGTTAGAAGCGGCACCTTCTTTTAGTGATTCCAGAGGTATAGGACATTTTTATTTAGATACAATAGAGACATTAGGTGGATTTCCAATTACCTTGAGCTTCGATAGAGGTACGAAAACCTTCATATTGAGCAATTTCAGAAGTTTTTGCGTAGAAATAACACTTTTAGAAGAACCCCATACTTATTCGGTACAAGCCCTTCAAATCAAAGAATTGAATCATGGTGGATTATTCTATGAAAGCATTTTACCAAATTTTGGATAGACCTATTGGGCCAATTAAAAAAAAGATGATGGATACTTTGATGGTTAGACTTGTACTCCGATTAATCAGAAAAAAAAATTTTTTACACCATGCTGGAGTAAAAATCTTAACCTTTAAATATTCACTTGCTGAAAAAATGAAAAGAAATTTTCAAGTAAGGTTTTTCTAGTTAATTCAAGGTCATTGAAGTTAGAAAACATGTCCTTAAAAAAATTTGACTACCCAAATTTAAAATTGACATGTATCTTATAGGACACAAAATCTTGCAATTGTTTTACACATGTATCCCTGATGATACATAATCTATATTCCTTATTACTTAGTTTTATAAATTATATTAGATCTAAAAACCAATTAGGGTATTTATTTTAAAAAACCTTTTATTATAATTATAAATCTTTTTAGGAAAATGTAAATATAAAAAATTGAAAACATAACACTTATATGTTATAAGAGAAAACATAATACTTACATGTATATATGTAATAAAAGAAAACAGAAAACAAACTAACATGTTTTTCAGTCTTTAGTTGCAAACTAAAATAATTATTTATAGTAAAACATAAATAACATAAAGAATCTACTTGAAAAAAATTATAAAATTTGTTTATATAATTGTAAATATAAAAAATTCAAAACATAATACTTATAATATGTAATATCAGAAAAAAAATTAACATTTTGTTCAGTCTTTAGTTGCAAATAAAAATTATCATTTATAGTGAAACATTTTAAAACAGTTCCTACCCTCTACATGACACAGTCTTACGTTACATTTTAGGCAAATAACACTTGTTTGCCCAGTTGACGGTACCTTCCTTTTTTGGTAAAATCAGGAAAATGGTCTACTTTATTATCATACCTGATTTCATTATATGGTCTTGGGGCAATTTCATTTTTTATTTTTTTGGCAGGAAAATCATTTATTTTTTCTAAAGTTCTACGTCCAAGTCTTGGTTTGTCTTTACTTGTCAACGCCATCCCAATTTCATGTCTAAACTCTTTTAGCCTTTTTTGTTTCTCACCTAGTGCTTTGCAGTTTCTACGATATAGTATCCATGCATTATTAACACAGATGTCTAACATTTGTGAAAATAATGACATTTACCACTTGTGTGATTACTGAATTCAAGGAATTGTATCTTATAGGATACATGTTATAAATAATAGAATTTAATTTTTGTATCTCCATAGATACAACATATTGTAGCTACTGGAAAATCAATTTGATTTGATGGAATTACTTAAATAATACATTAAAACATGTATTAAGACTTACCTTAATGAATTTGTCAATTAATTTGAACACCAGACGAGCTTCCGCTCCTTGAGAACGATTGAACAAAACGAAAAAATGGATATTACAATCACTTGACTGATAAGCGTCAATCATGTGGTATCTGTTAACTAAAATCTGTTCACATTCCCGCCAAATATTTTTTTTTGGTCTACCAAGAGTATATCTAGTGTAGCCAATCGTCCGATAATAAATAATTTTTCAAATGCCTCGAAATTTATTGTACAAACATTATGTATCTAGTAAGATACAAAATCTATTAATAAAATTTAAAATTCATCCTTTGTTTCCAAAAACCCAAAAAATGCTCCAACAACTCTAAAATGCGCTAAAAAATTAAGAAAATGACTTAAAAACTATAAAATTCCAAAAATTCAAAATAAACTTTCTCATTTTCATTCAAAAATACATAAAACAAATTTTTGACAAGACAGTAAGCTTTGGAAAACAATGCAAAGTGCATCGAAATCCCAGCCCTAATTATAACATTATGACACACGACATATAATGAGATCAAAGTAAAATACTGATATAAAATAAATTATCTTTGTAATGTTATGAATGGTTAATATTAATAAAAAATCACTTTGGCAAAAAAACAAAAATATATATACATAATTGCAAATTACATAAAATTATGCTACATGCATAACCCAGACATTAGATGACAAAAAAGTGATGTAAGCTCACATCTTAAATCACTTTAAAGCTATTATATGTTAAAGGCAAATTAGTATTAGTACATGTGTGAGCAACTGGAGATCGGGAAAAACAATCTTGTATAGAATTAAAGTTAATATTAATGCTTGAAGTTATGATATCTGCTCCTGTTATAAAGCGAAGTAACTTTGTACAGAACTTTAGATCGGTTTTACAAATACATTTTTTCAAAAATCCAAAGATTTTAAGCTTTATTTCATCTTTTTCTGGACACCATAGATTTTTTAATATATTTGTTGGCGCTGGTATCTTATCTTTGTACTCTTTTTCCAAACTATTTTTTGAAATGTTAATTTTATCTTTTAATTTTCGGACCATATATCAATAATATATTTTTCATGCTCAATAACTTCTTTGTGAGCAATTTCTGAAATAACTGCTTTTATATTTTGTTCATGTACCATTAATCATATTCTTGGAGCACATCTAGTAACTCTTTTTGGTCAATTTTAGTACAATCTTAATAGCACTTTCTAGTAAATCGTTTGATCTTAAAGGAAGAGTGTTTAAAAAACCTACAATTAAATCCTGTTTGTTTGCAGTACTTCCTCTGTGTACATACTCCATAAAAGGTAGAGACAAACTTATTGGTAGGTAATTAACATCTCTCCAACCTATAAATATTATTTTATCAATTGCTTGCCATTCTACTAGTTGAAAACCATACCTGATAACTGGAATTTTCCAGTAGCATCCAGTAGTAACCATTTCATAAAAGGTTGACCAAAACTCTGACAACACATCTTTAAAAACACCTCCGACGTCTACTGCGTTTTCCGAACTTCCATTTGACAAAATTAACTCAAATTCTATTTGAGAAGAACAGTTATTAATGTGCTTAAAAGCTTTTATTAATTATTAAATATATGACTTCTATGGATAATTAATTTGTATATTTTTATACTATGCCCTGGCACATCAAAATAATTGTGTTCATTGAGAGTATTATAAAAATGTATTGGTTGTTCAGTTAGTTCGTTATTATTGACAGATTTTGGTGGTGGTGAAGGTGTAATTGACCTCAAAAAGGAAGTGAATATATTTTCCGATGTCGATGATCCATCTGATGAAGAGGATTATAAATTTGATGCTGAATTGCTGATTGCCAAATAAAATCTTAATGAATTCAAACCTAAATAATATAAATAGGTAAATACAAATATAATATTTGAATATAAAATATATTAGGTGCAGTGAAATGGGGTGAATAGAAACAAAAAGTGATAAAGTTATATTAGGTCTTGTAGTTTTTAGGAAAATTGGTTTAGGACACTTTTTTCTTTATCATACTCAAGTGAATGTAAACGACGTTACACCTAATTTGTTATATAGTAAAAATTATTTACTAATGCATTGATAACACGGTGATCTTATGAGCTATAGTTGTTTTATTGTATCTTCTAAAAATCCAAAATTAACAGATATATAAATTAAATTATTTTTAATATCATCTATATTTAATAAATGTTTCGCTTTTTGAATAGAAACTGCTGAAGTAGAATCAATTGATACAACATATTTTATTTTTTCAAAGTTTTCGCAATAGTATTTTTGACTGCATTCAACCATGTCCCCCATCTAGTAATTATTGGTTCTGGTGGAAGACTCAAATTTGGATACATTTCTTTCAGCTTTTCTACACGACTTGGAGCTTTTAAAAATATTTTTTTTACCTCAGCAATTAACTTGTCTACCTACTTTACTAAATTTAGCTCTAATGGTTTCTCCAATTCTATGAAGTCCATGAGCTAAGCATGTCAAGTGAATCATCTTTGGGTAAAATACATTAATGGCCACTGCGGATTTCACCATATACGGCGCTACATCAGTTAAAAACAATAATACATTTCCGGGTTTCACACCTTTTGGTCATAATAAACTCATCGAATCGTTAAATAGTTTGGCTATGGTTTTGTGGTTGCATTTTTTTAACTGTGCACAATTTAATAAAAATGGTTTAGAAAAGGTTTCACTTAATTTTCCAACAATAACATTTCCAACCATTCTACCTTCAACGTCTACTGTTTCGTCGATCGAAACCCATATAGGGCCATCTTGAATGATGTTTCTAATAGAATTAAGTGTTTCCTGGTAAATTTCTGTCATGTTATTTTTCTTAAGAGTACTTTCGTCAGGAATTAATTGCCCCGTATACTTTGTTAAAAAAGCATTCAATGATTTATTTTCCAACTTGGAGATTGGAATATCCGCATGTATAAAAGCACGACAAAGTTTGGAATTAAACGAGTTTTTATTACCTGCAGAAGTACTGGTGGAAGTAAAAAACTGCTGTTTGAATTTTACTCTCTTTGTGTTTCACGGTCCCTATATGTTGTACTACTAAAAAACGTTGTTCGATGGAAACAGATTTTTCACACGCAGAACAGTACAAAATCTCACCATCACTCTGAAAATGTTCGTTTGGAAATTCTAGTACATAGTTTTTAGCTTTTCCAAATTTGGACACTCGAACTTTCGGCATAATTTTACACTAACACCGCCAACTCAAAATTACACGTCTAAATATACACACGTCCCGTTCGTCGATGTGGGTATACTGACTCGCTGTCAGTACTTGAAACGCAAACACGTATTAATAAATCGTTATCTATCATTTATCGAGGTAACAAATGTTGAATATAATATTATATCGACCGTAGATTACGGTCGATTAGTTCAATTATTGGCAATATTTTGTTTACGTACTTTTTGAAACATGGGAAATCGTATACATCGTATACAACTATTAATAAATCGTAAATTGTCGAAATATGTAGGGAAAAATGGAATTATTGAGAAATATGTAAAAATATGTACTTATGACAAAATATGTAAAAATATGTAAAATAAAATATAGTTCATTACAATGGAAATCCCTTGAAACGAATTTATTACTTACCTAAATTAATTTATCAAGTCACAGTAAAAATATGTATTTACATATAAATCCGAGCCCTACTTATCATTTTTATCAATTGTAACTGCCCTACCATTTGAATTCGAATTGAATTATTTGATTAATATTAAGACGTAAGTTCATATTTTATTTTAAAATGAACAGAACAAATAAAAGGAAACAAATTGAAGAATGGTTGAACGACAGTGATTTATCTACCCAAACATCAAATGGTAGTTTTTCAGAAAATTATGATTCAGATAAAGACCCGGATTTTGATATTGGCAATACAACTCCGAAGTAAGTATTTTTATTATTATAATTATTAGCATTTAGCATTTACTGCTCTTTCTGGTGTTTCTGATTATTGTATTGAGCAACTTGATGGTTATCAACCAATACATTTTTACAACCTATTTTTTGATGGTGAAATCATTGATTATTTAGTTAATGAAACAAATAAGTATGCGTTACAGTGTACAATTTCTGGAATAGTCAATGAATCTATTTCTGATTACAGTAGGTTGAATGATTGGACTGATGTGAATTCGTCTGAAATGAAGTGCTTTATTGGTTTTATTATATGGATGGGTCTTGGTAAAAAACCATCATTGAATAATTATTGGTCGAAAAAGCTGTTGTATAAAAAATTTGTTAGTAAATATATGCCCAAAAATAGATTTAGAGCTATTTTTTCCATGTTTCATTTCTCAGACAATTAAAATTCATCAAATGTTGACAGACTTTATAAAATAAATCCTTTCTTAGATATAATGAATGATAAGTTCCATAACATGTATGAACCAGATGAGTGAGTATGCATCGATGAAACAATGGTACCTTTTAGAGGCAGGTTAAGTTTTCGGCAATACATACCTGGAAAAATGCACAAATATAGTATAAAACTTTTTAAACTGTGTATGAAAGGAGGTCACACTTGGCATATAAAAATATATGGTGGCAAAGAAAAAGAACCTGGAAAACAAGTTGCTACAAGTGTTGTACTTGAGTTAATGAAACCGATATTAGGGGCTGGCCGAACACTTTATACTGATAACTACTATACAAATTGTTAGCTAAAGACACACATTTAGTTGGTACTTTAGGCAGGAATCGGAAAAATAATCCGAAGCCCGTTTTGAATTCTATACTAAAAAAAAATGAAATAAAAGCAATGGAAAGTAATACTGG